AAGGGTTTGGTGGTGGCTGCCCAAGGCAGAGCCCTTCTGCTTTTGGTTTTTCCTCTACCTCAGGCCATCTTGTAATTATTATTATTACTTTTTTCTTTTTTCCTTGCCTTCCCACAGTGGGTTTGCCATTGGTTTCATAAGCGTTGAGAACACAACAGTCAGAAAAGTTCTTCCCTTTTTTTCTGTCTTGCAAGCCCTATTTGCCTGCCTGCAGGGAAGAAGTGGGAGCAAGCTTGAATAGGCCCAATCAACAAAGCCATGACTCTCACCTTATTTTGCTTCTGTGTCACCCTGAAAAGCTGGAGGGAAAGGAAAGGCCTTATTTCCAGGAATGATCACCAGCACTCTGAAAAGCCTCACAAAATCAACCAGAAAGCAATTTACTGAAAACTCCCCCGGTCTCCAGCCTTCTGGGCACTGCCACTGCAGGAGACTTTTCCTCAGAGGGCTCTGAGTGGGGCTTGTCCATGGCAGAGGGCTATTCCAGTCTCTTGCCCCGTGCCTCCCAGGGGCACATTTGCTGGTTTTACTGACATGGAGCGCGGGCCTCTTTCTCTCCAGGCTAGCTAGCCATGCAGACTTGGAGGAGCCCCACGCGTGCCTTCTGCTCTGAACTCAGCAGCACCCAGCAGCTAAGCAAAGCTGGCTTTTTTTTTTTTTTTCCGAGGCAAGGCTTTATTGGGGGAAAGACCTGCCCAGGTGCCTCCAACAATGATGAGAGAGAGTGAACCGGGTTGGGGTGAGGTTTATAAGGGATTGGGAGAGCATTGTGTGTAAGTGGGTGATTAGGTTGGTGCTAGTGACGAGGGTGGAAACGATTGGCTGGTTTGAACTGAGAGGCGAGAAAACTTTCTGGTAGGAAGGAGGCAGGGTGGGGTAAGTTTCATTTTCCTGTTGCAAGTCAGTTTTGATTCCCCAACATGACTCATTTCCCATGTGAGGGGAACTCTATCACTGGCCTAAACCAAATAGTTGGGAAATAAACGTACGGTTTTTTTTTGGAGCTAGGTCTTACTGTGTAGTTCAGGCTGGCCTTGAACTCAACATTTAGCCCAGATGTGCCAAGCCTCTTCCCTCAGCCCCTCAAGTGCTGGGGTTACTGGTGTGCACCACCGCACCCAGGCAAAAGGTGGCTTTTTATCACAAGGGCTTGGTGTCAGGGCAGAAGGGTCCTGGCTGTGTTTCAGGATACTGTGTGTGTGTGTGTGTGTGTGTGTGTGTGTGTGTGTGTGTGTAGAGGGGAAAGTTGGCCTTGGCTTTGGTGAGATCAGAAAATCAGTGGCTGGTTGTTGACCATCACAAAACTGGTGGGTCACAAGCCACTTCCTGGGTCCCTGGCCTTCCTGCAGCTCTCAGAAGGAAAACTGCTTCCATATTTTGGAGGGGAAAGAAAATGAGGAAAGCCCCCTTTTTCCCCAGGGGCCTTGTTCTGGCCTAAGAACATGTCTGAAATTATTCTAGTCACATGCAGGCTATTCAAATAAGACAGAATTTCAAACCACACAGGGCTTGTTGAGACAGGCTTCCAGGATGTGTGAAAGGCAGGGGAAGGGGAGGAGAAGGCCCCTCCCATTCTCCTGTCCTCTTTATTACCAGCAGCTGCAATGCTAGACACATCGGAGTGTGTCCCAAAGCCCAGGCAGACTTGAGCAGGTCTGACAGCAAGCGAGCACATGAAAGCCACTGTAAGGCTCCCCTCCCCGGTTGGCAACTTTAATTATTGAACTGGAGCTCAGTGAAATAAAAAATAAAAATAAAATAAAATCAGAATATATTATAAGTGGCTCCCCAGTTTCCTGCAGAGAATAGCTTGTGGTGGAGAGGGGGAACCGAAAACCACAATGCTCTCTCTGTCTGTGGCTGGGCTAGGCAGAGGCCTTTAAATATTCATGCCCCATGTGCAACTGTGCAGAGAGAGGGAGGAGGCAGTGCCTTTAGCAGCACTGGCTGGCTAAGGAGAGGGCGGTGACGGCTGATGGCTGCAGGCAGCTAGGTGCTAGCTGCTGTGCTTCTGCAATGCCTTGAAAGTTGCGTTGGGCATAAGGCACACCCTAGCTATGTCTCCATTATTGATGGGCATCTGACCTGGTTCGACATGCTCTCTAGACCCTTTGTCTCCTCCACGTCTGCTACCATGCCATCACTGCTTACCTCCCTTCCGACTCACCCTTCTAAAAGGCAAGTGATATGACAGTTTGGGGCCACAGGTAGTGGAGGGAAACTCTTGCATGGGCTCAGAATGAATTTCAGGCATGACTGGCAAGCACTGCTATAGCCAATAAACCTCAAGTTTTGATGTGGAACCAAATTACCAAGGGTGGGGCCTGACAAGGCCAGGTCCCTGGGTCCACTTAGTGATGTCACTGAGGAGGTCCAGGATGGGGGCCAAGAGTCCCGATTCATCACATTTTCCAGGTGACCACCCAGGCTTACTAGTTGACTTGTTCCTAGACTGTAAAGGAAATTCACTGAGGATAGCACTTCTATGGGGATCCACCAATGTTTGTGGGGTTTCTTGAGCGAGCATTTTAAGATATTCTGCTACACATTTACTTCCCGAAGACCAGGACTGGCCTGGGTAACGAGAAGGTGATGTCTGAAGGGCATCAGCCTTGCAGCTCGGGTTGGCCGGCTGTCAGTCCCTGTGGGCCCAACTCTCGTCAGGGACCTTATTTACATCACCCACCTTCATGCCCAGCCAAGTGGGGTCCCTTTAGGGTTGGTGACGTTTAAAGGCCCCATGTTTTTTAGGGGGCACAGGGGATCAAACTCAGGACCTTGTGCTTTTGAGGAAGGGAGGCAGGCGTGGTGCCACTGAGCTAAATCCTTGGCCTGAAAGGCCCCATGTTAACCTCACATTCTTCCATAGCAAAACAGCAACCATTTTCCTGCCACCAGAGTTCAGCCAACCTGGGAAAACGAAGTCAAGTTCCTGCCTTCTGCATTTAGGGTTTGAATAAAATAAATCGTGGGGCTTACAAACCTGGAAACATATATTTAGGTTATTTTGCTGGACAAAAATATTGCTCTCAATATTGGGAAGGCAAAGACCCATCAATCATCATTAGATGAATGATCTGAAAACCTGTGAATGTGAAATGATGTGACTGTAAACATATATAAACATGAAGAATGTGCATGGGAGATGGACTTACTCCCTTCCCTTCCTTAAGTCTGCTGAGCCAAGTGCTGGAAAAGGGCAGGAAACAGCAGAAATCGCCTAGGGCAGAGCTGACTGAGGGGAAAATAAAGTACGGTAGTGAAAGAAAACACCTGTTCAGCTATCGATCAACTCAAAGGTTATTACAGAAATGATGGAGTATTAGAAAAATAGCGCTTTTACCTTGGCATTTCTTTTTCTGAGATTAAGCTCATATTAAATCTAGTGAGGAATACATTTAAAGACCGAATGCTCTTAAGGATGACCCTTTCCTCTCCGGTGGGCCAACCATCTGTCCTCATTCAGATTTCCGCTTAGGAAACCTTCCTTTCTAAGTATCAGCTCTGAGGCATCTGAAAAATATCAACAATGACTGTAATCCCACCATCTGCATCAGATAGCAGGGTTTCTCAAATACAATTTAAGTCAATGAATCCATTTATTTCCATTAAGACTTCTCCCCAAAAGAATTTAAGGTGGCTCAGAGAGACATAAAATGTAGTAAGATGACATAAGCTAGAAGAGAGTGAGAGATGGGGCAAAGGTCGAATTATAGAACCGAGTCAGGAGTGAGGCGGCTGCAAACTGCACATTGTGAAGTTCTATTTACTTACTAAGGAGAAGCCCCAGCTTTAACTCAAGCATTCCTCTAATTAAAAAGTCATTTATATATCTTTCTATTCTTTGTTTTATGCCTGTGAGTTTTTATTGCACGAGAAACCTGAAGGGCTAGAAGCCCTCCTTCAGCAGGGGTGGTCCTGTCCTCTGTATTCTGCTGGCCCACGGTCCTCCTCCCTGGGGTTTCTACCTGCTAGCGAGGGAAGGTCAAGCTGCCCAGTTTCCCAATGTCCACAACTTGAAGGGAAACACACTTATCTCTGAAACCAAAACAGGTAGGAATTTCTTCTGTGACGTCCCCAAAAGGACTAGCTAAATCAAAGCCAAGTGCTGCTGTCCCAGTGTCTGCCATATGTGGATCAGGGTGCCTGGGGAGCACAAAGGAGCCCAAAGCATGGCCTGCCCTTTGAGACCTTAGAGTCTGCTTTTTGGCTAATGTCTTGCTCTCTCTTTGAGTGTTTATGCAGGGTGCTGATTACTGTAGTGCTCACTTTGTGATGGGTACTCTTTTAAACCCTTTGCAAATATTAATCTATGTAAAACACCACTTTGGGGCAGACACCATTGCTATCTCCATTTTGCAGGCGAGGAAACTGAGTCCCTGTGATGATCAAACAGCCATCTGAGGTGGAACATGTCTCAAATTCAGCTCATTTACTCTGGAGTCCATGAGCTTCACCACTGTACCATGGTGGGGGGTGGGGGGTGGTTTAAGCATATTTCTTGGCCCCTAGAGATCATGACCACAAGTGAGAGAACATGGTGTTCGGCCTCCTATCCTCACTTGAAGAGATAAGAGCTTCCAGAACCACTTGGGTACGTGGCTTTAGAGCCCTCATAGAATGCCACTGATGTCTTAATGAAATTTATGTGAATCAAATTTCTGGTGCTTTATAATATTTGAAATGTATTATAAGAGCCTGATATTTTAAAAAAAGGATCTTGTAGCAAGTCTTTTGTACATTGTTGTTATCTTCCCTGTTTTGCGTTAGGAAACATTTTCTGGGTTTGCTTAAATTAAAGTCTTACGGGAAACAGTCCAGTGAGCTGAGCAAGGGTGTTTGAAGAAAGGGTCTGTGTATGTGAGACTTTATCGTGCTGGTGGAAGCGGCCTGCCTGAAGCATGGCAAAATGACCTTCTTATTATCCTGCCATCCTGGGTTCCTGTGGAAGTGAGGGGTGGGAAGAGAAGGCAGGGAGGTAGAGGAGCACTGAAACTTGCCTCACACGGAGAGTTCTTTATCGGTGCAGGAAATGTGGCACTGGTCACGGTAGCACTTTCAGGACTGGGGACATCGGTGGTGCTGAGCAACAGGGCATGGTCTGGGGGAGAGAGGTGAAAAGTTACAAACATACCAGTTTTGCGAACTGAGAGGCCCAGGAGTGAGAGTCAGTGGGCTCTACGTGGTTATTATCCAGGCGAGGAATATCTTTGAGAACATTGGTTTCTAGCCCATTGTGGATAAAGAAGCTCACTTGTTATTGTCAACAAACCCTGACTCATGCAAAGACTTGAATTCCAAACTGTCTGTGAGGACACCACACCGTGCATTGGGCTACTACATCCTGTCTCCTGGTCTTGGCCCACGTGTAGCCTGAAGTACCCTCAGCACTCCGGCCCCACCCTTCCCATTGCTGCTCATGGCTGTAGTTGACCTCCGAAGGGCTCTATGACCTTCCCTGTCCCCTGTTCTGAAGCTCAAGTCATCTGGTGTCCCATGTTCTTCCCAGGGAGACTCATTTTTTTTGTTTTCTCTTTTTTTCCCCCAGCATTACTTGGCCTGTAAAGCTGGGAGATGATGAACTGCCTATGTAGCAGCAGTAAGGGACATTTTTAAACCTCCAGGGACTTCGGAGCATTTTAGAGATGGTCAGTGTTGTGGGGGTAGGAGCCGCAGCAAGCTCTCAACTCTTTAGGGTCCTTAGAACCCTAGCGTGACTCTAGTCTTTAGCTTCTACCTTTCTTCATCTCTTGGGAAAGTCTGCTATTGAGCTGCTACAAAGTAACAGTTACTGCTATTGAGCTGCTACAAAGTAACAGTTACTGGTGGGTCCAGAGCAGAGTGACCCACAGGCCAGAGATCTTAGGAAGCATGAGGCAGAGCCAAGGAGCTAGAGTTCTGTGACCAGGGAAAGAAAAGCCATCATGGGGGTGGGTGGGTTCCAACTGTTGTATTTTCATACTTGAAGCCCTGCCATTCTGGGACAGGGGTAGTTCAGAATCTAAGAGGACAAATCATGATCCATGAGTAGAATTCATGGAGAGGTGGAGCTTGCCTTGAGGCAAGGAAAATTGGTCTGTGATTCCAAGTTGTTAAACAATGACATGGATTATTCTTGGAGGCAGTGAGAGCACCCAGAAGGGCTGGAGAGTTATTTCCTAAGGGTGCTGTAGGGGAATCGCCAAGCTGAGGACAGAGACATGAAGAGCATGCCTGGCTTTGAGCTCTCTCTGCTCCTGCAGACACGGTGCTGAGGATGATGCCACGTGATAAGGAGGCTGGGAGGAGAAGTAGGAGCTCCTGGGCCCTCCTCATTTGGTGAGGGGCCTCCGTGGAACCCTCCTACAGCTGTGGTGACTCAGCCTTACTTCTGTGGGCCACTAAATGTCCTGGACCCAAACCACCTCACCCCGATGTAGCTAGCTCCTTCCCAGTTGATGTGGATGTTGTCCTCTCACACACTTTTATTATGACTACTATTACTTCTTAAAATAATCCATAGGGTGGCTAATCTTTGCTTGGGAAGGAAGGGGGTAAGTGGGTCTCCAGTTCCACCAAGATGGGGAGATTGTGGGGAATGGGAGGAGAGAGACTCCTTTCCCACCAACCCTCTCCTGCATGGAGGTGCCTGGGGCCTGCCTGAGCCTAGCCACTAGGTACAGTCCGAGGCTGGGCCATGGCTGCATGGACTTGTTTCTCTAGCAGGCTGACTTTGGGAGCTGTGCTGGCACCAAAGACTCCAACAAAACAACTGCACGGGCTGGAACCTGAATCTGAAGTCTGCCCATTCAGGCGTGGGTGCCTATCTCTTGGGAGTATGGAGATCCTAGACTTCTCTGGCAGTGAAGCAAAGCTTGTGGGGAGGGTGGGCTCCAGTGACAGGAAGACGGGCGTTGTCAGCTAAAGCCATTCTGGGTAGGGCAGTGATGTCGAACCTTTAGAGACTTCAATGATATAAACAGCCCACTGTGGCATAAGTGGCATAGGTTTACCACCACTGGGATAGGGGACTGGCTAAGGAGGGAATGAACCAGATGTGGGCCAGTGTTCCCATGGCACAGCTGGACAAATGGCACAAGGCCTCTATGTGCTTTAGTTTCCCCAGTCATGAAAGGGACTGTGGCTTTCCCTGCCTCTCAATGAATTATGTAGCTGACCACATGATAGGACCTCATTTATTATAAGGATGGATTTTTATCATCGTTAATCCTTCCTCAAAGTTCTTATTTGAGGTAACAAAAGTTGACACAATCCGAGGAGCTTGACCAGATTTGCTCATTCAAAGGTCCAAGAAGGAAAAAAGAGAGGATTATATGTGAATACCCTAGGGAGAAGGGAAGAGCGGGGTTGTACCTTGGTGGTCCCAGGACCGGGCATCCTTCAGGGTCCCGACCTGCCACTGGGGCGCATGGGGCGAGAGGGTGCCTTGGGTCCAGCCACAGAAACCATCCTCAAAGTTGCAGTAGAAGCCAGCAGGAAGTTGATCTGTGGAGAGAACAGACGGGGACAGTTGCCAGGACTCCTGAAAGCAAAACAGGCGAACAACGAGCCAAATTAGCCAGGCATGAGCAAATTATCCTCATTAGTGACAGCTCCCCAGTCAGCATGTTTGGTGCCTAGCGATACTGATCATGATGATGAGAAGCCCTCAAATCCTAGATTGTGCACCGCCACTTTGTAATTTTCTGGTTGTCAGAAAATAAAATAGTAACAACAATAACGATTGCACACAGCACACATCAGTCCAGTTTTATATATGACAGAGCAGAGGTGCACAAATGTTAAGCAGCACGAAAAGGTCAGATAGCTAACAGGTAACCCAGCTGGGACCCGAACCCAGATTATCCGCTTCTCAGTTCTGTGCTCTTAATACCAAGTCACCATGAATGCGACCCCCGAGAAAGCAATGTACAATTCGTTAGAATACATTTCCAATGGTCCACACGAGGACGAGTGTGGCGGCAGCAGAGGCAGTGTTAGCAGGGTGTAGGTTTGGGTCTCTTGAGGTACCCTGTCTGCAGACACACCTTTTTCAAAGCCTTCCATGTGCGCCCCTTTATTTCCCTCGAAGTTAAGTGAAGCCGTGCAACTAGTTCTGGACAATGGCATGGGAGTAGAAGTGATGTGTATCTTATCTGGATTGAGGCTTTGAAAAGTCTTGTGTAAATCTCCAGTCTCTCTTCCCTTGCCTTTGAGGCAGGAGTATTCTTGTTCCTGAGGGTGCTGCTGTGACAAAGGTGCCCCCCCCCCCCCACGCTTCTGTGGAGCAGGGCTCCTCTCACTTTGGCCCTCGCAGGACAGGTCCCATAAAGGAGACCTTAAGCCACTGCAGTTTGGCGGTGTCTCGTCATTGCAGCCAAACCTGGCTGATTCTGCTCAAACAATCTCAGTCTCTGTGGCCTCCACATCACCCGCTGGCTCAGCAGAAAGGGCCCACAGTCCTTTCCTCCACACTAGAGTGACCTCAGGTCCGACTGAAGAGAGAGTCTGTTCCCTAGACTATATATTTCCCAGCGGCCCATGGGAGGATGGGGAAAAGAGAAGAGGGCAAAAGAGTTCACTTCTCCAGCTTCCTCTGAGTGGCTCAGGGAGAGGTGGCCCGCAGTGGGCCAGCTCAGCAGCTCCCGGCCGGGCCAGGCTGCTACACCTCCACACAGGGGGAAGGAGTTCTCTAGCTGAGACCCACGGCTCTCCATGTCCTTCTCGGCAGTGGCAGGCTGACAAAGAAGGCCCTAACGCTTCCTGGCTGTGACAGCACCTGAGTGAATTATTACTCATTTCCCCTCGGTTCTCTGTGCATTTCACACTGAGGGAGAATTATAAATTAAACCAGGCTGTCACTGACTTGGAGCATCTCTTCCATTTATACCCCCCTAAAGAAATCATTTCCCCCCAGGCCCCTCATGTTCCTCTGATTAAAAATCCAAAAGCTAAGGAGATCTTTCTGTTTTACTTTTTACTTCCCCCTCAAGGGATCCCATATTCACTTCTTTTGCAGAAACTAACTGGCGTCTGGAAGTGACCTTCCACCGAGTGTCCTTCACTGTCATGCTTTAAAAACCAAGGGCCACAGTGGACGATCCCGGGCGGCAGGCGCTGGGCTGACAGAGGAGGAGGCAGGGCTGAGGGGCTGGGGGCCACGTGGCATGTCGCTCCCCATCCACCTTTCCAGGGTGGGAAGGGAGAAGAGGACTGACCGATGGGGACTGGCACCACAGCTGCTGCCTGTCCTACACTCACCAGCTCCTGCGGTGTGACCTCAGGCAGGTCGCTTCCTTGCAGCCTCAGGTTTCTCAAACCTAAAAGGGGGTGATAGTACCATCTACTTCCTAGGGTTATTTTTAGGACGAAATAAGGCAGACAGTGTGGAAACGTCTCGTGAATTGCCAGAGTCATACAGATATGAAATGGCAGCAGGGGAATTAATTATTATTCACACTTGAGTTAGGGGAACTTGTCAGGTTCGGTGCTCAGCCAGCCAACGCTACCCTGGCAGGGGCAGAGACAGATCCTGTGGTTGCCTCTCTGAAAAGGTCTCATGGTGGTGGCTCATGCAGTATCTCAATCTGTGCCTTCCCGGGCACGGGAATGAGGAACGCCGTCACACTGTCCTGTTTTGGGAAGCCATCCTGGTCCTGGCTGGCACAGGATCCAGGGTGAGCTGGGAATGGAAGTCCCATTTCTTGAGGGATGATTGAATAAAGGGAGAGAAGGCAGGCAAAACAGCAAAGCAGATCAATAGGCAATTTACGTGACAATTAAACCTTGAAGAGAGAATAGAGCTGAGAGGACTTCCCTTACTGAAGCACAGCTGGGTCTTGGGAAATCACTCATAAGGCCAATTGCTGAGCACAAGGTTGACCCTCAAGGTTGGTCTCATGGCATCAACTATGGAACTATTGCAGGTAGGGAGTCCCGGGCCCACCTGGCCTGCCAATTTAGAATCTGCATTTGGAACAAGCTCTTCAGGTACTTTCTGAGCACCTTCACGTTTAAGGAGCATTTCTCCAACGGGCCCCCTTCTTGAGCTGCAGCCAGGTAGTTCACTGGCTGGGTGGCAAATCGGGCTGTGTGAGGGTCAATCAATCCTGCCACATTTGGCAATTATGACATCTGATTCCACTCTAAGACAGACAAATTGGTGGAGTCACAGAGATGTGACCTCAGCCACAGCTGCAGGAGCTGCCAAGTATAAACTCCAGGCCAAATGACACCACTTCTTTTCCTCCCTGTGTGACAACTCTGTTAACATTTTTGATAAATATGTGTTATACATTTCCTTGAAAATGTGGAGTCATGGGAAAAATGTTATAAGAAATACATCAAAATATTATGGCTATCTCTGAATGTGTGAGGAGGAAGATAATGGGCAATAGTTATTTTCTCCTGTGCATTTTTCTAGATTTTCCAGGTATTTTACAAGTGGCATGCTTTATATTACAACAAAGAAATACATATTTAAAAAATGTTTTTGCCTAGTAGGAAGAGTATCCCATGTCCAGGGAGGGGAAATAATGTGTCTACAATAGCCAGGAGTCAGTAGCCCATCCAGGGAATGAAGTGGGGGAGGCCCACTTTCTGCGGGGCTGCATGCCATTGAGGCCATTGGTCAGGACGCTGTCAATGGGACACAGCACCTGGGATGTCTCACTTGGATTTGACAATGTTTTTAATTGTAAATGCAGGAGTACTGGCAGGTATTATGTTACAGAAGAGGAGACTGAGACCCAGGGGTGGAGGTCCATGAGCTGACTCCTCTCTCCTTCCTCCACAGGAAGATAGAGCTGAGTCTTGTTCATGTGTGGCTCTTCCTGGCCCATTATTCCTGGGGGAGTCTAAAGCCAGGCTCAGTGCTTAGCACAGCCAAAGCTAGAGACTCCTACAGTGGATGAGATTGGCCTGCAGTGGTTGGGAATGTGGGCTCTGAAATCACACTGAGTCTGAGTCATTGCTTAAGCCACCGGGAAAGGATGACTTGGATCGAACTCACTCTGGCTTCCTTGTCTCTGAGATGGGGACGGCAGCACTGCCTAGGATTGTTGTATGAAATAAATTAACACCTGATGAGTGTTTAGAGCAGCACCTGCACACAGTAAGGGTTCACTAAATGTCAGCCAGCATCATTGCTGTTGTTATCCTCATGGGGATGGTTTCCAGAATCAACAGTATAACAAGGAAAGCAGCAAAAATGCCAGAAAGAATAGGCCACACAAACAAGGAAAAAAAATATTTACTGAGAGTTCTGCTAAGAGCAGAATAAGAAAAAGATTGGACTGAGTCTCCTCCTGGATTGAACTCTCCCTGCTAGCAACTGATTTCTCCAGCAAAGTGAGGGTGTTCTCCAGGGTGGAGCTGTCATTCTGAGAGCATGGCTGAGCAACTTTTCAAATGTGGCTGAAAAGGCCACTGGTCCCTAGGTATCTGCCTTCGGTACCCAAGCTCGGCTGCCCTGAAGCCAGGGGCTGGCTCTGGAAATCCATGATGGCGAGCCCCACAGTGATGGGAAAATGTCCACAGTAACAGGCTGGATTCCAGAAGGCTCAGTACTCTAATCACAGCTCTGTCCTAGACATGCTGTGTGACCCTGAACAAATCAATTACCTTCTCTGTGCCTTCATTTTCCCAACTGTAAATCAGGGCAGAGCCTATCTGGCCTGTGTCCCAGCTGGGGAGTGGGTATCAAAAGACTTTTAAGAGGCAATTGCAAAATCATACAGCTCAGAGGCACTGCTGAAAATACTGCAGACACAAATAACTAGAGAGATACACAGAGAGGCCACTGCCCCCAGCACCGTGGGCCGGCTCACCTGCACTTCTGGCCCAGTGCATGGTGAGAATTCTGTGAGAAAGGCCAGGAGCAGAATAAAGTGAAACAAGTGCCTGTCTGCAGTTCTTCACTGAGATTTATCTAAAAACACACGCCATAACTCCATTATAATTGGAACGCTTCACTTGAAAATTACATTAAAAAACGAGGTTTTTAAAACTGAAAAATGGACGTCTTTATTGGTTTGTTTAAATGAGAATAAATAAAGACCCCCGAGAGGCCCAGAGGACTTGGGGGACATTGTTAAATTTTAAAAGTTATTTTATAAAATTTTTTGCAGGCTAGGGGTGTCTTGGGACTGGTGTGTCGGAGAAGTGAACTGTAGTCTGCTCCTGGTCTGGTTCCCCCAGGCAGGACTCTGCCTCACCCTTTCCCCGCTGAGGCTCCCCTGCTCCATCCTCTGTATTTGTCTTGGGCTTGCAGTGATTCGAGGACAGAAACCGTGAGCTTTGTCCCGCTCTAGGATTCAGAGCATTTTCTAGCTCACTCTGCTGTTCTAGAGGCGTTCGTGCTCTGGAGTGATGACTCCCATGAGGGTGCTGCTGGGAGCACTGTGTTCAAGTGTGATGGGCCCTGGCTGGGGGCCTACTCAGTGTGGCCATCTGTGTGGCTACAGCCAACGGTTTTCTTGTATGGAGCTCAAGTTTCTCAACTCATTCATTCATTTCCATCAAGAAATAATCCTTGGAATCATGAAGACAGTGGCACCAGAAAGATGCCCAGGCCCAATATACACAGAGAGAAATAGAGACATGGAAAACACCTCTGTAAAACATAGTGGATGCATGTGTGTAGGATGGCTAAAGTGAAAAGGCAGATAGGAACAAGTGCTGACAAGAGGTGAAGGAATTGGAATCCTCATATACTGCACGTGGGTATGTAAGATGATATGGCCACTCTGGAAAAAGTTTTTGACAATTTATCAATATGTTAAATGTAGAGTTACCAGACAACCCATGGATTCTGTTCCTAGGTGTATACCCATATATGAGCATAGGCTCACAAAAACACTTGTATAAAAATGTTCACAGCAGCATTATTAATAGTAGCCAAAACCTGGAAACAACCCATATGCCAATGAACTTATGAGTGGATAAGAAAAATGTGGTATATCAATATAATGAAACATTCTGAAATAAAAAGGGATGAAGCACTGATATATGCCACAATGTGCATGGACCTCAAAAACAGTATGCTTACTGAAAGAAAATCACAAAAGGTCCCCTATTACATGAGTCAGTTTGTATGAAATGCCCAGAATAGGCAAATCTACAAAAACAGAAGATTAGAAGATTAGGACTAGTGGCAGAAAGGACAGAGAGCAATGGGGAGAGACTGCAAGGGGATCCTTTTTTTGAGGTGGTGAAAATATTCTAAAATTAGATAGTGGTAATGGTTGAGCAATCCTATCACTATTCTACAGAATATCAAATTGTACATTTTAAATTGGGTGAATCATATGGTAAGTGAATTAGATCTCAAAATCATTATCGGAAAGTAATGGAAGTGATTATGGCTGAGTTGGGGGTAAGGGTCCAGAGGCAGAAGCAGCAACTGTACTGGGAGGATGGCTGGGGCTTCCTAGGAGAGATGGCCCTTGAGACAAGTACTGAAAAGGTAGACCTGAAAGTGAGGCAGGTGTGGAACGGAGAGCTTCCAAATGTCCCCCCAGTGTTAGGCTTTGTCTTGCGCATTTTCTCTGTGCCTTGAGGATGCTGAGAACATACTTTAGAAGACCCTGTTCGGTTTTTAATGTATGTGACCACAGACCATGGAGGACTGCAGTTTCCCGACCACAGGTCTTAGCTCTTTCTCCTAAATACTGTGTATTGCCAGAAGAGCAGTGACGAAGCTCACTGGGTATCAGGATCTGTCCGAGCCCACATGCCTCAGGTGGTGGGGACAGGAGAGGCCTTCAGGCAGGCCAGGCTGGGGCAGGGTGGCCACAAGGCCCATCTACTCACTGCACAGCTGGCCCTCATCTTCTCCCTGGGCGCAGTCCCGGTGGAAGTCGCAGGCCTGCCCGAGCTGGACGACTGTCCCATTCCAACAGGCGAAGGAACTCTGCAGGGCCATCTTGGAGCCTGGGGACGTTCCTAGAGAACACACAGACACATTTCCCTCATCAGTTTGGGTGGCTCCAGGCATTGGCTGGCCCTGTGGGAAGGCAACAAGGAAAGCTTCCCGCTGCCCTGCCATTCTACCCCAAGGTCTGACTGAGATGCCTGCATGTCAATGTGGCCACAGGAAGGCCAACCTCAGCAGGCCGAGAGGACGTCCCCCCACCGAGCCCCGCCAACCCGGCCTGCTGGGGATCTCACACTGTAGTGATGGTGAGTGGCCAAGTGGTAGAGGTCTGTTCCATGTTCCACAAACTCTATGTTGGCCTCAAACCCATGCTTTAGTGTCCCAGGTGGACACACTACAGGTGGACACTTGTCTGCACGATCAGCCCTATCCTCAAGACCAACAAACACCTCATCCAGTCTGTTCCCTTTCTGCTGCCTTTTGACCCCAGATTCTATTAATGGAATGACTTAGGGAGTGGATTCTAGAGACATACAGTACTTCTCCTGTGAATTGCAAAGCACACCATTGTGGGAGCTGGGCCCCGAGTCCTGTAAGATTGGCTGTGTGAGGCTGACCATGTTCCTTGTCTATCTGGCCTACCTACTCTTTCATAACAGGAAGAAATTTGACTGTGTATTTAAGCTTTGCTCCCACTCTAACATTCTTAAATAAAATCATATTTTCTAGGGGGAAGCAAGGTCAGTTTATGAAGCACATAGTAGCAGTTACTAGTTTCTGTACTAAGAATAGGGCATTATGATAATGAGTTGGTGACCACTCATGTCTCTGCAGGCCTCACAGATCCAGGCCAAGGAGGGTGCAGGCTGGCCTGGCCTTGTCTTTCCTACTGAGTGGAAAACGTTGCCAGGGTGCCACTCAGGGCCTGCCTGGTGTCTCCTGCACCTCAGCTGCTGGATGGCAGGAGGTGTGGGAGCCTCTGCCCCGTGGAGATGAGTGGGTGGAGCCCACCTGAGTTGACATCCCAGGTATGGCTGCCTTACCCTCTTTCCTTGTTTTCCAGCTCCACCCCCTTGGTAGCTGTTTCCTCAGCAGTCACCTCAGCCCCATCTCACCCACCTCCGTGCTTAGGCTGGTCAAGTCTCCCGCCTCCCTGAGCCTCAGGCAGGAGGGTTCTCCAACCCCAGCTGCAGAATCAGACTTAGCTGATTCTGATGTGAAACACTCCAGGGCGGGTGCTCTTTAATATCTAAAATTTCATGATTTTCTGGTTCATTCAAGTGTTCCTAATGACACAAAAACTAATATGAAGTCCAGCCTATTTGCTCCCAGAGTTCCTCTGCCTACCTTAGTGTGTTGGGCTCTGTGAGGAAGGTAGGCAAGTCTTAATAGTGGGTCTTAGCATTTCCTAAATGAGGGAATTGAGGTCAGAGAGGTTCAGTGACTTGTCTAAAGTCACACAGTCAGCACACGAGATACAAACCCAATTTTCTGGACCTCAGAGCTGCTTTTTTCCATAAGATGGAAGGGAAATACTATAGGTAACCTTGTGCCCTCTTTTACAGGCTAGACCAGATAAGGCTCAGAGATTACGCAGATGGCCACCTGGCATTGTCAGACTGGCCTCCAGCCTGGCCAGACAGTCTCTGTGACCCTGGGGGATGGGAAAACATGCCCCATGTCCTTCCTGGGAAGCCCTTTAACTTCTCCAAGGTCACCACGATCTAGGCCCAGATTGCCTTCGGTGTCATCTCCCTTTGCCTCTCTGTGAATGCTGGGCTGCAGGGTCATGGGATGGCGAACCCCCAAACCTGCTCTCCATCCAAGGCGTAGCTCACAGTCTCTACCTGTGACAATCATCACACCTTCTCCATAGTCATTTGGCTTTGGCTCTATTACCCTGGCTCTGGAACTTATGGACATGTTGCCATCTTCTCTATCATACTGTCTGAAGTTCTGGCCATGCTCTGCCTGAGCCAGGCCTGGTCCTTAGGAGAGCTCATACCTGGCTTGAACACTACATTACCCCTCTGGGGTAGGCTGACTAGTGGATCCCCGAATAACCACACCCTATTCTTGGCTGTGAATATTACCTTATACTGTAAAAAGGACTTTGCTGATATGATTAAAGTTCTCTAGATGGAAAGATTCTCCTGGATTATCCAGGTGGGCCCATAGGGTCCTCATCAGAGGGAGGTGGGAGAGTCAAAGTAAGAAGCTGAAGATGTGATGATGGAAGCATGAGTCTGGGGTGCTGGGAGGAAGGGGTCCTGGCCCAAGAATTGCAGGGGGCTTCTAGAAGCTGAAAAAGTCAGGAAAGTAGATATTCCTTAGATTCTCCAGAAGCAACCAGCCCTGCCCAACAGCATACCTTTAGCCCAATGAAACTGATTTCAGACTTCAGCCCTCCAGGGCTGTAAGAGAATAAATTTGTGTTGTTTTAAGCCATTAAGTTTGTGGCAGTTTGTTACATCAGCAATAGGAAATTAATATACCATCTAAACCCAGCTCCAGCTGAAATCACAGACCAAGTCATCTTAGGGTCAGCAGAAGCCCCACGTCGATTTAGATCAACTTCTCGGTTCTTTAACTTTTTGTGTGTGACTACGTCCTTGTGGTTTCCTAGCCTGCTCACCTCTACCTATTTCTTCCTTACAGAGAAGAAAAAATACCATCCCCATGCCTCAAGACAGCCTAAGACAAAGTTTCTCCCAAATACCTTATGCATTCTAAGTGCAGAGACGTGAATAATGAGAAGTCACCCTCTCTCCCACAATGCCCAGTTCCAAGTACTTTCAGATAACTCATCCCCCAGCAGAGTGACACAGCAGAAGAGAAGCACGTTCCCGAGGTGTTGACACGTGGGCTTGGCTTGGGGCCCAGGGACCTTGTCCCAGCCATTGAGGGCACAGAGTCATGATGCCTGTCTGTTCACTACGGACAGGGGAGCTCTATTATTTCCACTTTGGAGGAGGCAATGCGAAGTCCAGTGTCATTGCATGGCTTCTCTGCCCCTCTGTCGGGGCAAGGATATTGTTGCGGTTTGAATATAGTTTATCTCCCTTGTTCCTAACTCACGCAGGAGTTTTGTCCTCAAAGTCAGGTAGTAATAGAATTAAGGTGGGAACTTAATCTCACTATGGTGTTTAGAAGCGAGGCCTTTTGGAAGTGATTAGATTGGATTAAGTCGTTAGGGTGCCACCCGCCATGATTGAATCCTGATGGTTTTGTGAGCAACAGGAAAGAGATTACACATACTCAGAGATACATGTGTCCCTGCCATGATGTGACACAGCCAAAGGGGGTTCTCACCAGAGGCTGGGCTGTGGTATTTGGACTTCTGGCTGTGAGTTAAATAAACCATGAACTAAATAAGCCTCCTTCCTTGAAAAGGAGACTGCCTTATGTATTTTGTTATAGGAATGAAAAACAGACTGAAGTATTTAGGATTAAAAAGTTCTCCTTTGAATGTACTTGGCGATTTCATTTGAAAGGCATTTTTTCCTGTGCTTGATAATTAAACACAGTTAGGACTTCATTACTCTCGTTCTTAGCTCATTATAGAAAACAGAAGCAAACTCAAAAACCCATAAAGTCCCCCTACCTATGGGACAAATACAAGGTGTGTTCCTTCGTCTGTCTTCTTGAACACATGAGTGTTTCCACACACCAATTACTTGGCATTTCCCAAACAGGTCTTACAGCTTTTTTTTAAAAATACTTTTTCTTCATTCTAAAAACAAACCTATCATCTAAAGTTTGAAAGCAGGTTAAAAAGAAACAGGAATAATGTCCACCACCCAGAGGCCACCGTTTTTAACATTTTGGTTGATTGATCTTTAGGTTTTTTTCTGTCTATGCTTTAAAAGTGTGTATAGTCATGTCATATGTATGTAGGTCTTAAAATAATTAAGGTTATATCACAAGATTTTCCAAGGGCTTAAAAAAATTCCCTCTAAGAATACTCTTTTAATGGTTATAATATAGCATGATATGCACCATCATTTATTTAAACATTATTCAATGATTGGACTGCTACTCTGTTTATAATAACACTTTGAAGAATACCTTTGAGCATAAACCTTTGCCGACATTTCAGATTATTTTCACAGGATAGATTCCCAGAAGTGGAATTACTGAATCAAAAGGTATAAACATTTTAAGGGCTCTTGATACATATTGCCAAATTGCTTTGTAGAAGTTAATCCAATTTACAGTCTTTACCAGGTGTGTTCATACATGCACGTCCTTCGTATTCCATCCTGGCCAGCCCTGAGCATTAGTCTACTTTTAATTTTTAACTAAAGGGATCTCCCTGCTGTTTTATTTTAAATTTCTTTGATAGTGAGGTTTAATGCTGTTTTCACACGCCGGCAACTTTTTCTTTCCAGTGCTGTGCATGGAGCTGCAGGCCCCATACATGTTAGGCAAGTGCTCTACCACTGAACTACAACCCCTAACCCTCCTTATGTTTCTATACTTCATTAATAAGGATGTGAAACCATTTATTGTATGTGTGACATCTATTTAATTATACATATTTCATGTATATTTTCATTATGTTTGTAATGTATTTTAGTGTGGAAGCATTAAAAATTTTCATGTCATCTAAGCCTGTCTGTGTTTTCCTTGGTGATTTCTCCTTTTTTAATGCTTACAGAATTTGTTCCCTGAGCTCACTTTTCAATGTTTTGGGGTTGCCCTTCCCCTTGGGGATGCCCTCCACCCACCCTTCACCAATCAGGGACTCAGCAATGGTGATCTGGATGTTGTCACTTCATCCAGGACATTTTCATGGATTCTTCCTTTTCCCCCTCCATGAACAGTCTTTTTCCCTAGGCTTTTATAGCCCATCACTTCTTGCATTTAACACGGTGGACGGTCTGTCTCATATGACTATGGCTGTTTGTATGCCTGTGTTTCTGACCATATTGTGAGTGGCTTGAAGGTCGGTATTAAGTCTTAAGAGTGTACAATAGTGCCTGGTATATAGATCTCCCAACTTCAATGTTTGAAATTTGAACTGATCCTTCACTGAGGAAGTTATTATACCTATTTTTTGACTTTT